TTGAGTATCTCTTTCTACAGGCCTATGAGGTTTTCTAGGTTGTTTAGCTTGCACACATATTTCACATTTTTCTTTTGAGATAATAGAAGACTTAGGAATGAGATCTAAATTCATCATCCTTTTTATTGTATTATAATTCACATGAACAAGTCTACCATGCCAAGCTTCACAACTTTCAACATTAGCAATAGTCATAGAAGAACTAGAAATATTATAATTGGAATTCGGCAATACACTTAAACGAAATAAACCATCCAACATAAATCCTTTACCAATAAAAAGACCATGTCTACAAATCACAACTTTATTGGACTCAAAAACAACTTTATAGCCATTTCTCACTAAAAGAGAAGCACTAATAAGATTTTTTCTAATTTCTGAAATATGACAAACACCATCTAAAGACAAGACTTTTTCCGAAGACAATGTTAAGTTAATTTGGCCTTCTCCTAAGACACGAGCCACACTCCCATTCCCCATGCTTACAGTTCTTGTGCCTGATACCTGATATGATAAAAAATAATTTTTATCAGCGCACACATGAACATTAGCCCCATAGTCAATCCACCAATCATTTGAGCTAAAAATATTATTTAACTCTGGGCTAACAAAATACCTGTTAGCATGGGGATCGGAGGTAGCCCCCACAGTCTACATATTGGCTTGTGGATTTGACGTAGATGGGGGTTTGAGATTATTTTTCTGACCGTGACGACGAAAGCAATTTTTAGCAACATGATTCGTCTTCCCACAAACCCAACATTGGACCGAACTCCCATTTTTATCTTTTGACACATAGTTATTGAATTTATTATTTCCACTAAAATTCTTTTTGTGCCCATGTTTCTTAAAATTTCGAGGCTTTGGTTTGTGAGAATTTTCAACAACTAAAGCTTTGGCTTGGAAAGACGGTACCTCAATTTTTTGAGAAGAGCGATGCCTATCTTCAATTCTCAAAGCAATAAATAATTCTTCAAGAGAAAAACTTTCAGGTTTATGCTTAAGACCTCTAGCAAAATCGGACCAAGAAGGCGGTAACTTTTTAATCAAAGACGAAACATATACCGCCTCACTTTGTTCGATCCCTTTTGCTTTCATATCAAAGATAAGATTTTCAAACTCAATCAATTGATCGGCAAAATTTTTATTATCTACCATTTGAAAATCTAACCAATCATCAATAGTAACACGTTTGAAACCCTTTTCGGCAGTACCATATCGATGATCAAGAGCAAGCCATAATTCTAAAGCATTTTTTGTATGTGAAAAAATACGATAGATATTATCGGACAAACACTCAAAATTCTACCATGGCAAAGAATATCCTTATCACCAAGATCGGTACTACTAGAATTTCCACCCTTATTACTAAGACCAGTTTGTATTACTACAAAAAGACCTAGTTCAGTCAACCAAAATTTCATTTGTTGTTGCCAACATAAAAAGTTTTTTCCATCAAATTTTTTGGGTTTGCTAGACAACGACTTAAGAAAATCCATATTGAGCACAAAATAAAATAAATCCTAAAATTAATAGAAATACGTTTTTTTCTCTAAAATTGTTGGAAAAATTATGTCTAAAGTGGAGAAATATTTCTAGTAATTTAGGAAAAATAAATTCAATAACAAACAATTAGCCAACGATAAAAATAAGGAGTGAGTTTAGAAGAGCCTGGGTCGAAGCACGCCGTAGCGCTATCTTTAGAGAAGAAACGCCCCCACTGCACCGGTAAGTTGATCGCACGTTCTTCTCCCAAGATTCGACAACCCGATGGTACTTCGTGTGCAGCGAAGAGAACCCCGAACCACAAAATACTCGTGCTCAAAATATGTAAATATAGTTTACTGAATTGAGAGGAATATTTTTTATATTAGGAGAAGAATTGGAAGTGATCATGCATATATAAACTTTTACCCTCTGTTCATGAAATTAGAACCTAATATATAGTAGCAGCCCAAAAACCAATCTTACCGTTGGGAATTATGCATCAATACAAAAAAACGTATGGTCATTAAGAGTTAA